TACCCCAATTTCTGTGACTGTGGCCCAGGGAACACCTCTAGATTGCCTGGCTCTGGCGGACAGTGGGACTTAATGCCAGTGGTCCCACAAGCCTGTGAATTTACTCACTTTAAAAGCTGGTGACTGAGACCTTTCCTGATAGAACTCTTGACAGTTTGGGGCCCACCTGCAACTACTGGGAGTCACTAAAAACAGGCTACTCAGACAATCACAAAGATTTTAGAGACAACCAAAACGTCACTCCTCCAAAACTGGGAGAGGTGGCTGTTTTATCCAATGGCCAGAAACCAACAGAGTCCAGGAAGAGTAAGCAGAGGTCAACGTTCCAAATGAAAGAACAAGATAAAACCTCAGAAACTGTGCTTACAGAAATGGAGATAAATGATTCACCTGTTAAAGAGTTCAAAATCATGCTCATAATGATGCTCACTTGAGAAAAGAATGAATGAACTTCAACAAAGAGAAAATATAAGAAAATACCAAAAAGAAATCACAGTTGAAGGATACAATAATTTAACTGAAAAATACACTCGAGGAGTTCAATGGCAGACTAGATGACATTAAAAAGGATTAATGAACTCAAACACAGGGCAGTGAAACTCAAGCCAACAGAGCAGTGAAAAGAAAAAAGAATGGAAAAAGTGAAGATTGCTTGAGGGACTTGTGCGATAACATCAAGCAGACAAACATCTACATTACGGAGTCCCAGGCTCCCCTGGTGGCTCAGACGGTAAAGAATCCGCCTGCAATGTGGGAGACCCGGGTTCAATCCCTGGGCTGGAAAGATCCCCTGGAGAAGGGTATGGCAACCCACTCCAGTATTCTGGCCTGGAGAATCCCCACGGACAGAGGAGCCTGGTGGGCCATAGTCCATGGGGTCGCAAAGAACTGGACACGACAGGGCAAATAAGCACAGCACGAGAAGAAAGAAAAAGTGCTGAAAAATTCCCCAACCTAGGAACAAAAACACATTCAGATCCAGGAAGCTTGGAAAGTTCCAAACAAACCTCAAAGGGACCCATACCAAGACATATTATAATTAAACTGTTAAAACTGAAAACACAAGAAAACTTTAATAAAAGCAGAAGAAAACAAGTAGGTACATACAAGGGAACCACCAGAAGACTATCAGCAAGTTTTTCAGCAGAAACTTTCCAGGTCAGAAGGGAGTGGCATGATATATTCAAGATGTTGAAAGAAAACACTTCCAGACAAGAATACTCAGCAAAATTGTCATTCAGAATTTAAAGAACAAGCTTTCCAGACTAGCAAAAACTAAACCGGCCTTACAAGAATTAAGGCAACTTTCTTAAGCTGAAAAATAAAGGCCACTAAGTAGCAGTGGGAAAATATATGAAAATATAAATCTCACTGGTAGAGGTAAATATAGTACAATTTAGAAAAATAAAACATAAAGGTAGTATGGATGAGTTACTCATAAAGCCAGTATGAAGGTTAAAAAAATACACTAGCAAAAATATAATAGTTAAGGGATATACAAGATAAAATGGTGTAAAACGTAACCAAAAAAACATGTGGGGAATGGAGGAGTAAAAATGTGGAGTTTTAGAATGACTGAAACTTTGACTGTTAATAAGTTATGTGTAACCCTCACGGTAATCATAAAGCAAAAACCTGTTCATGGGAGATTCACAAAAGATCTGAGAAATAAAGAATCTAAACATGTCACTAAAGAAAATCATCAGGACTTCCCTGGTGGTCCAGGGGTTAAGAATCCACCTGCCAATGCAGAAGACGTGGATGCAACCCTGCTCCAGCAAGATCCCACATGCCGTGGGCCAGCTACGCCGTGGGCCACAACTGCTGAGCCCACCCAGCAAGTACTGATGCCTGAGCGCCCGAGAGCTGGTGCTCCACACGAAGAGCGGCCACAATGGGAAGCCGCACGCTCAACTGAGAGCAGCCCCTACTCCACAGCCAGAGAGAGCCCTCCGGCAGCAATGGAGGCCCAGTGCAGCCATAAATAAATAAATAAGATCATCAAACCACAAAGAAGGACAGCAAGAGAACAGAGAAACTACAAAATAGTCAGAAAACAATTAACCAAATAGCAGTAAGAACATACTTCTCAATAATTACTTTAAATGTAAATGGACTAAATTCTACAATCAAAAGAAAGTGGCTGAATGTATTTTTTTTTTTAAACAGACATGCTGCCTACCTCTGATGTAAGGATACAGACTGAAAGTGAGGCTGGGAAAAGGTATTCCATACAAATGGAAACCAAAAGAAAGCTGGGGTAGCTATACTTAGACAAAATAAGACTTTAAAATAAAGAGATAACGAAGGGCATTACATAATGATAAAGGGGGGGTGTCAACAAAAGGACAAAACATTTGTAAATATTTCTGCACTCAATATAGGAGCATCTAAATATATAAAGCAATATTAATAGACCTCAAGGGAGAAATAGACAGTAATGTAATAATACAGGACTTTATACTCCATTTTCATCAATAGATCATCCAGATAGAATATAAGTAAGGACACATCAGCTTTAAACAAACACATTAAACCAGGTAACCTTAACACATATATACAGAACATTTCATCCAAAAGCAGCACAATACATATTCTTGTGAAGTGCACATGCAACAAGACAGATATATGATCCAAGACAGATCATATATTTAGGCCACAAAACAACTCTTAAAGTTAAGACTGAAATCACATCAAGCATCTTTTCTAATCACACCAGTCTGAAACTAGAAATCATCACAAGAAGAAAACTGGAAAATTCACAAATAAGTGGAGATTACACAACATGTTACTGAACAACCAATGGGTCACAAAAGAAAACAAAAGAGAAAGCATATCCGTGACAAATGAAAGTGGAAATACAGCATACTAAAACTTAGGGGAGACAGCAAAAGCAGTCCTAAGAAGTTCATAACGATAAATGCCTGCACATCAAGAAACAAGATCTCAAAGAGTCGAACTTGACACTTCAAGGAGATAGAAAAAGAACAAAGTCCCAAGTTTGTAAGAGGAAAGAAGTAACAACGACCAGAGTGGAAATAAACAGAGACTATGGAAGATAAGAGGGACTTCCTTGGTGGCTGAGTGGCTAAGACTGCTGCAGGGGGCGGGGCTGTGATCCCTGGTCGGGGAACTTGAGCCCACATGCAATCCCACACGCGGCAACAGGAGGCCAGATGCTGCCACGAAGACCAAAGATCGGATGCTGCAACTAAGCCCCAAAGCAACCAAATACACATTTTTAAAAAGACAACAGAAAAGACCAATGAAACTAAGAGGTCACTCCTTGAATAGAAAAACAAAATTGGCAAATCTTTAGCTAGCCTCACACACACAAAGGACTCAAAATCAGATGTGAAGGAAAAAGTTTCACAACTGATACACATCAGAAATACAGAGGATCATTAAGAGACTACTAGTCATTATACACTAAGGCTGAATCATGAAGAAATAAAAAAGCTGAACAGACCAATAACCAGGAAGAAGATTGAATCCCTCATCAACACCCCCCCACGACCCCGTGCCACCAATGAACAAAAGTTTAAGATACAGACAGTTTTTCTGGTAAATTCTACCAAACATTTACAGAGTATGTACCAATCCTCAAACTCTTCTAAAACACAGAAGAGGAGCAAACACTTCCAAACTCATCCTACAAGGCCAGCATGACATTAAGACCAAAACCAAACAAGGACACCACAGGAAAGTTACAGACCAGTATCTCTGATAAACCTAATGTGAAAACTCCTCAACAAAATATCAGCAAACTATATGGCTGAATACATTAAAAGGATCATACACAATGATCTGGTGGAAGTTATCCCAGGAATTCAAGGATGGTACAACATCTACAAATCAATCAGTGTGACACAGCACAATAGTAAAAGGACAGAACCATAAAACTCAGAAGAAAACTGAGGAGGTAAGCTCCTTGACGCTGGTCTCAGTAGTGATTTTTTTGATTTGGCGACAAAAGCAAAAATAAACAAGGAGGACAACAAAGTAAAAAGCTCTCGCACAGCAAAGGAAACTAAACAAATGAAAAGGCAGCATATGGAATGGGAGAAAACCTTTGTGAATGATTTGACCAATAAGGGGTTAAGATCCAAACTATAAAAAGCGCATGCAATTCAATAGAAAAAAAAAATCACATTTTAAAACGGGCAGAGGGTTGAACAGACATTTTCCCACAGAAGAAATACAGATGGTCAACAGGTACATGAAAAGGTTCAACATCACTAATTATCAGGGAAATACAAACCAAAATCTAACTTCACACTTTTTATAATGGCTGTTATCAAAAAGACAAGAAATAACAAGTATTGGCAAGGATGTGGAGAAAAAGGAACCCCTGTGCAGTATTTATGCAAATGTAACTTGGTGCAACCACTACAGAAAACCATATGGAGGGTCCCTAAAAAGTTAAAAACAGGATTACCACATGAGCTAGCAATTCCATTTCTGGGTATTTATCCAACAAAAATAAAAACACTAACTCAAGAAGATAGATGCATCCCCATGTTCACTGCCAAGACATGGAAACAACCTGATGTGTCCATGCATGGCTGAATGGATAAAGAAAATGCGGTATTATATACAAATACCATGGAATATTAATGAATCATAAAGAAGAGGAGATCTTGTCATTTACAACAACACAGATGGATCTTGAGGGCATTATGCCAAGTGAAGTCAGTCAAATTTATTGCAGAGCAGCAGCTACACATGGAATCTTAGAAGAAAAGAGCTCAAAGCCACAGAGAACAGATTGCTGGTTCTCAGAAGTGGGGATTAAATGGATGAAGCGGGTTAAGAGAGACAAACTTCAGTTTTACAGTCAGTCTTGGGGATGTGACATACAGCATGGTGACCATCATCAGTGCTGTACTGCATATTTGAAAGCTGCTGAAAGAATAACCTTAGAAGTTCTTGCCACAAGGCAGCTTTGTTCCCTACGGTGACAGACTTACCGTGGTGACCACTGTGCAGTATGTACAAACATGGAATCGTTACGTGGTCGACCTGAAGCTGACGTGACGTTCTGCAGAGGTTCTCACCCGTGGCGAGCATCAGAATCACCTGGAGAGCTTGCTGAAGCAGCCTGCCAAGCCCCGGCCCGAGTTCCTGACTTAGTGGATCTGGACAGGGGCCCGAGAGCCGGCATTACTTCCCAGGTGACGCCGCCCTGCTGCTCGGGGGACACCGAGCACCCTTGCAGAGGTGATGCCGCAGTGCGCCGCCCCGATTCCCCTTCCAGACTGCGGCACTCCGTGTCTCCCCAGGAACGGCCCTTGCTCGCTCCAAGGGAGTGCCTCCCCCAAGCTCACCAGCCCTCGCGTGGGGCCCACATCGGCCGACCAGCACCAGAGGGGTCGTGTGTAGGTGAAATCACATCAAGAAGACAAACAAGGAAGCAGTTATGTGAGGAAATAAGTGTGGACGTGAGTCTTAGATGTACATGGAAACGGGCAGAACTTGGGGAGAACAGCCCGTCCTGCAGCAGAGCGCAGTCTCATGCGGCTTCCAAGTCTCTCCCTGGCAGAATCCTACTAGTTTAAAAAGCAAAGTCACCTCATGGCTATAAACACACCAAGGAAGGCTTCTGAACTGCCAGTGATAACTCCATCCTCAATGTGGAAGATGCTAATCAAATTTCCAACCAGGTCATCCAGTTACTGTCTGATTCAGAGGGACTCATGTCCTGCTGTCTCCCAAATAATCACCCTGTTTGGGAAGCCACTTGCCCTCCTGAGGCTGGGGTCCCAGGCTCACTGGCCCTTTCAGCAGAAAGGTCTTCGTCAAGGGCCGTGGGTAAGGGATGGGTGGGCTGAAAGCCTAGCTCACTAAGTTAGCTCCTCCTTCGCTGGGCAGTGAGAGGGTAGTTGGTACTGCAGGGAAAAGCAAGCAGATTGTGAATCCTCAGGGCAGAATGCAAGCGAGACAGACAGGATGCTCCCTCCCCGCTGCTGCGAGTCAGCCTCATGCCAAAAACCTGCTTAAAATGCCAAAGCTGAGTCCAAGGTTCAGAAAAACAACTTCTGCCAGAGATCACACAGAGGGCACGGGTATTCAGATGCTCCTCTGACCGAGCCTCCCAAGCCCTTCTCGCAGAAGGGCACAAGGTTCGGAAACGGTGAGGTGATTTCAGCTGGGAGGGCACAAGGCGAAGGGCTCTTCACGAGAAAAGACCCCAGGTGTCTGGGCTCCTGGCTCAGGCCCACAGACGGCTTCACGCTGCCCGCAGGGGTGGCTGCAGTCTCCTCGCCCGCCCTTCCAGCGCCCCAGCGCCCCACACCACCAGTGCCTTCGGGACATGAGAGGGGCCTCAGCTCAGCCTAAGCAGTCCAAAGGCCCCAGACAGAAAAGACTGGCCCAGACAGGCGGAGCTGCTCCGGCTTCTCCTCCTGCCCGGGAGACGGAAACAGGGCCACAGACGGCGCACCCTCCAGGTCCCAGAGAGCCCTCCTGATGGCAGAGGCGGGGACCCCCGCAAGGAACAGACCCCGGGAAGGCAGAGCAAGAAGCCCTGGTCTGCTTTATGTCTAAGATTAGCAGATTCTAATCAAAATGAATAAAAGAAAACATGGGTGTGACATCAACTCATGGGTGTATCAAAATCAACTCAGTGAATGTGTGCAGGGAAAACCGGATATCTACTGGGAGAGTACCAGACTGACCACGTTTGCGGGATCAGGGAGTCCAAGGTGCCCTCTGAGGGGCAGCACCGCTCCCACTGCAGCGCCCGGGTCTCTGGGACAAGGATGACCAGAGAGAACGCCGCAGAACATCCACGTCGCTGTCCATGGTGTTCAGCTCATTCACTGATGTGCACAGCGCTCAGTTGCATCTACTTCTGAGAGGGAACAATGCTTTCTGGGCCAGGAGACTGGGGGTGAGGGGAAGGACGAAAAGGAGGAGCTGCCCTAAACCAACCCCAGAGAGTTGTTTTTTCTTAACAAGTTATAAGAAATGTCAGGGATGCTGCTGCTCTCTGAATAATGAACATCAAAGGGCTAATTGCTAAACAAAATGCAGAATGAGTGTCTGCCTAGGGGGCCTGTAATCTCAGTAAAGCATAAGCTGGTAAGAACTGCCTGGTCCCTGTACTGGAGCACTCCTGGAGGTGGACGCCAGGATCTAAACCTGGAGCAGGTGCAGACTGGCGACCTGGAGTCAGTCTTCACAGTACCCATCCCACTGCCACAGAGCTACCTTTTAAAAAAAATCAGGACAAGACCACTAGAATCAGGAGTTAAAGAACTGATCTATCTACAGCTTTTTCTTCTTCTTTTGAATAAGCAGGAAAAAATGGCCACAACAGTGCCAGTGATGACCCTTTAAAATGATCTAAGATATTTTTCCTTTAGGAATTTCAAAGATTTGTAATATATACTGGAGGCCTATACTTTTTATTTTTTTAATACATGAAAAGCCTCTGCAATCACATTTTCTTCTTCCATTAAATGTCTACTTTCAAAAAAAAAAAAAACCCTTAAAGTCATCAACCCCTGGAGAAGTATTCTTGCCTGGGAAATCCCATGGACGGAGGACCTTGTGACCTACAGTCCACAGGTTCGCAAAGAGTCAGACACGACTGAGCAACTTCACTTCACTTCACTTCAAAGTCATCAAAATAGAGGCATTAGCCTACATTGCTGTAAGTCAATAAATACTACTTTTCTCATTATATTTCATTATTAAATCAGAAATGTGTTCCATTGGGGGGACTTCCCTAGTGGTCCAGGGACTAAGACTCTGTGCTCCAATGCAGGGGGCCTGGGTTTGATCCCTGGTCGGGGATCTAGATCCCACGTGCCACAGCTAAGAGTTCGAATACCACAACTAAAGATCCCATGTGCGATAACGAAGACCTGGCGGAGCCAAATAAATATAAATATTCAAAAAACATTAAATAAAAGAAGTGTGTTCCACTTGGCGGGGGGGGGGGGGCAGAGAACTCTTACAAATAAAAATCACAGTGTGGCAAAATTTAAGGGGAAAAAATTTTTTTCTGATAAAACATTGAGAATAAAATTCAAATAAATACTGAGCTGCATTCATGTTAAAACAAAATAAAAGATATTCACAAATTGTTCTCACTTCTCTGGAGAGCTAAATTTGGAAAGCTAAATTGCCAAAACATCTTAGATTGGGAGGAGGGGTTGTTTTTGCTTTTCCTGCCATATAATTTAACTGATGCGATGGCTGGGAAGAGGATAGATATACATAACACACAGAGAACTAAGGAATCTGAGGATCAGCATTTTGACAGTTTGGCCACAGATATTCCCCTACGGAGTAGCTGAAGAGCAACTGCCTGTGTAGTCGTGGCCTGGCTGACATCTCGATATCCTCCAGTGGACCACCAACCAGCCCGAGAACCGAGCCAAACAAAGGCTTATCATTTTAAGACACTAGCCAGCTGCTGGGTGAGGAACAGACCACAGTCCAGAGGAAGACATGAGCAGTCCACTTGATGAGAGCAGGGGAAAAGCATGCCGATGGTGACAGAGACGCACAGACTTCAGAAGTTTAGCTCCACCGATAAACTCACAGATTCTCATGTTGGAAACAGAATAAGAAGAGACTATAAATACCTACCTATAAAAGGTGAAAGTATGCATGCAACCTGTTCCCATTTGGAACTGAGTTTTTTAATCTGGTCCTCATCCCCCTGGATGTTTACGTTATTTGTCACTCATTCACACAACAGTATTTACTGAGTTCATGCCACGTGTTCAACACTATTCCAAGTGCTGTTGGGGCCTGTGGCAGAATGCATTTGCCAAAAATGGCCACATAACACCCTGCATCCCATGTGACCAACTCAACCAAAATAGTACAGTAGAAATGACGCTTCTGAGGCTAGATCGTGAACAAGCCACACACCTCTCCTCGATCTCGTAAGACGTGCTCCTGGAACCCAGCTGCCATGCTGTGAGGCAGCGCAAAGAAGCCAGAGTCACCATGTGGAGAGGTCACTTGTGGGAGTTCCAGCCAGCAGCCGAGCGGACATCCCAGCTAACAGCCAGAATCAACTACTAAATATGTGAGTCAAGTCACTTCAGTGATTCTTGTGACTTTCCTGGAGGTCTAGTGGCCAAGACTTCACACTCCCAATGCAGGGGGCCTGGTTTCCATCTCTGGTCAGGAAACTAGATCCCACATTCTGCAGCTAAGACCCAGTACAGCCAAAAAAATAGATTAAAAAAAAATTTTTTTTAAAAGACACCCCAGTGAATCTAGCTCCCAATCATCAAGTCACCTCCAGACACTGTGGAGCAAAGACAAGTTGTCCTCACTACATGAGGTTCAAATTCTTGACCTACATGAATCTGTCAGCAAAATAAAAATGATTTTTACACCACTGAGTTTTGGAAAGGTGTGACCTTGGTGACACCAAGAGTCACCAGAACAGGGATATAAGGTAACAAGAGACATCACCCTGTGCAAGGATTTTATCATCTTCAAGAGGTGACACAAGATACACGTAGAAAACAGGTGAGTAGCAATAAGAGATAGGCTAACATTAAGTGAATTTAATGAGTGGTGCAAACAGTGGGTGCTGCAGCAATGCAGAGAAGGCACAGGGTCAAGACAAAGTAAAACAGTCAGTGGTGCTGAAAACCTGAGCTGTTTCTCGGGCAAGTGTCTCAGAGATTACACTATCATGCTTTTTCTCCAACCCATTTAAAGCAGGCGCTGTTCCGTTCTTGCTTTGCAAGAAGTCTCCCTATTTGGAGATTCCAAATGAAGAACACCAGCCCTTTTCTATAGCCCCTCACTGCTCACAAAATACGGTCCAGGGCCCAGGAGCCATCAACCTGGAGCGTGAATGCAGAATCTCGGGTCCCATCCCACACCTGCGGAATCCGATTCTGCAGCTTAACAAGATCCCAGGTAAGCTGTATACACACTCAAGGGCCAGAAGCACAGGTCTCATCAACCTGCCTCCGCGGGTCCCGCAGGACTCGCTGAGACAAACTCGCGCGCGTTTTGTGGAAGCCGCACGCGCGCGCTCAGCCTCTCGGGATCAGTATCACTGTGCTGCCTCGGTTCCCAGATGAGGAATCAGAGGTGAATGGACGCCAAGAGGCTTCCCCAGACTCTGCACAGAAAGTGAGTACCCCCACTGGGGCCAGAACCCCTTCTCCATGAGTGGTTCATCTCTTGATGAGTCATACAATCCAACCACAACAGACTGACTGGCCTAAAGACTACCAAAATGTACATCTCACCAGGGAAGAAAACAAGAACTACAGAAAGACAGAAATTATGGGATGTAAGGTCGGTCTGATTGTGCTTTATCTATAACATAGATATTCATCTAAAATATCCCAACCCGCTAAGTGGTATAAGACGGTCTTTGGGTGTGAAAAATCTAATCAACTTGAACCAAGAAAATGGGTGCAATATTTCCACAATCACATTTAAGCTTGCTTGGTAATAACTGGAAACCAATTTATGCCACAGCCTATACAAATAATACTTTTAAATCTTCAAAGAGTAAGGGGCAAAAAGTAAACATGAATCATAGATTCCTGGTTAGCTAGTAAATTCTGATTTCCAAACGTTAGAACATCTGCACCCACAGTGCTCGGCTGGGCTGTGCTTAGTCACTGCGTTGTGCCCAACTCGTTGCCTGTCAGGCTCCTCTGTCCATGGGATTCTCCAGGCAAGAATGTTGGAGTGGGTTGCCATGCCCTCCTCCAGGGGATCTTCCAGGTCTCCCGAGTTGTAGGTGGATTCTTTACTGTCTGAGCTACCAGGAAAGCCCAACCCACAGTATTAAAAAGAAAAGAAAACAATTACACATCAGCAACTACACGCAACCTAAGTATAAGGTTGCCTCAAAATTCCTTGAAAAGCAGAAGCATGAAATCTCAGGTCCATTCACAAATAAGATTTCAGTACTTAGAAGTTCATTATTAATTTAAAGAAGACAAAAATGAATTTAAAAATTAGAACAAAGTTCATAGGACTAAGAGCTCAAGAGTGAAGAGTTGAGCACTCTGATCATCTAACCATTTGACGTCTCACTGGATATATCAACATCTTTAAAACTCAATCTGTTCTTAAAAAAAAAAAAAACAGGAATTAAAATGTGACCCTGTAATTCTAGGGAAAAAAAAAAAAAAAACACCTCAATCTGTGAGCCTCAACTTTCTCCCCACAGGGAGTTCTTTTTCATACTCCTGGCCAAATTCCACATTTTTAGTACTTTTATACCAAATTAACTTCATTTGTAAACTACTGATGAATTAACCTCCCATTTTTCTTTATAAATCAAAAGTGAAAGTCGCTCAGTCGTGTCCGACTCTTTGAGAGCCATGGACTGT